TGGCGAGAGACTAAGCGTAAAACACAGTTCGGTTATGAGAGGGTATAGTTAATGTCAGTGACTCGACTCGAGTGGAGTCAAGTCGTCACGACTCGTCTCGTTAAAAGTCGACTCGACCTATTGGAAGTCTAGTGGCAAGAGACTTAACGTAAAATACAGTGCGAGGGTGTAACGAGGGAGGGTAGTAAAAGTCCGCGACTCGACTCGAGTCGAGTCGATCGAGTCGTCATAACTCGTCTCGAATAAGTCACAAAAATTAATGGTTAGGTCCATGATCAATACCGCATCTCACGGTATACTTCATGTATATACCACCATGGGTCAGATCTGCATTCCGTTTACTAAGATTGCATGTTATTTTTAGCCTGAGAGTAGCCTGTGTGTAGGAACACAGTCTAAACTTTGAAGCAATACGCGAATTACCCGGAACGTATTCTCGCTGACTCAGTGGTTTTCCATTCCTCTGATATCAGCATCATTTCATTCCATGAAATAAAGCAACAAACAACAGATCTAAGCTTCAGTTGTCTTGTTGTGTGTGACAATCTGTTTTAGGAAAACCTTTTGATAAAGGGTTGTAACTACTGAAGTCCCAAGAAACTAAATGGAACTATAACAAGTAAAATCTAGGGATCACAATGAGCCGATTAAAAACTATCATATCCTATCATTACACTTGTTTGGTTTGGCAGTAAATTTTTTCGCACTAAATAAGTGACACGAGGCAGCCTAGGCCGGCGCCTTTGATTTTAGATTGATAGCCGGCCCAATCGATCTCAACATCAACATCATAACTTTCGTTTACGTTCCAGCACAGCGATTTAAAAGAATGTTTTTCCTTTGAAATTGCCTGAAGGATGGATGTTTGCAAAGGTAAAAATAGCTGATAACGCAAACAGCTCACTAAACTTGACGGAAACATATTGCGTATCACGTTAATTCCAATTGCAAAAATTAACCTTTTTCCTTCTCGATATCTCGTTTACCCGAACAAAGTACCCGCCACATCCCATTGATCTTCCCCAAAAATATCCTGCATCCCGTTAATGTTTTACCTAAATATCCCGAAAACCCCTAATGGGGCCTCATTACCTCAAAGTAAATTTATAAACTATATTCACAACTCCTGCAAACAAGCATTTTTGTTATTTGTAGCATGTGAAAATAGAACATTTAAAGTTTGTCTCAAAGCGTGTCATGCAAGACTGGTTGAGTATTTCACCCTGTTCCAGTGCAACATATATTACGCGGATTATATAGACATATTATAAGCCGAAGACGAGTACGATATTATTAGCTGGTTTAATATGCACATAAAACTATTACATCGCGAAATGTTGGGAAGAGATTGTAGGTCTTGCGCCGAAGCAAGTAAATTATTACTGGCAATAAAAAATGACACTTTTATATAATTAAATGCTTCCTTCTTTGCAAATACAAAAGGAGTTTCTCAACGTCCACAGCAAGGAGCACTCCATGATATTCTCCAAGATATTCTAGAAAAGGCTTTTGGTGTTAAGTAAAGGATTAACTGTTTTTAACGGATAATAAGTCTATTGGTCAATCTTTAATGTGAGCACTTTGAGCAACACTTGAGAATTGCAGATCAACAGGCGCACAACAAAGATAAGAGAGGCATCGGCTAACTGGTCACGCAGAAATAGCTCGGATAATGGTAAAGCCTGAATACGAGCCAAGTGGCTCATCAGGCTGGTTTCCGTAGCACGAAGTGACTAGGAATATTTCTACTCCCCCTTGGATGCAATGCTAGTCCATCGCAGGGTTACCCCCAGCATTAAAATTCGTTGGGGGTAATCCCAAGAACACAATTATCACAGCGTCCCCGGCCAGGGCTCGAGTCCGGACCCCTCGAACCGGAGTAGAGCGCACTAACCATGAGGCCACCGCGCCTCCACAGCTCAGATAATTACAAGTTGATCAAAAATGGCAGAGCCGACATATGTGTAATCCCTTCACAGGACATAATTAACATATTAGTGAGCATTCAAATTCAATAATCCTGAACGTCTGCATATCAGTCGAACGGCTCAGAGAGGATGATCTTCTGATACTTAAGTCACAGCATTTATGTTTATATTCTATTGCATACAAACTGGTCTTTAAAATATCATCTTCAATTAAATATTGAATCTTGGTGTTTTAAAATTAAAGTAATTTTTTTTTTAGTATGGCTATCAGAGGCCACCTTTCCTTGTATACACGTCACACAATCCTCCTTGTTAAGAACAGGTAACGCACTCTCTTCTGGTTCTCTCAGGTCCTGTAAAACTCAGTGAAAAAAAAAAATTACATATTTATTCCTCACCTGGAGTTTTGCTCTTTTTCCTTGTGAGTAGTTTCTGCTTTCTTTTCTAACTTGTTTTTAATCTCTCTTTTGTTGAGTGTTTGTCCTCCTACAAACACACTCGCCTTTACAGCTTTCCAATTCCTTTGTCCTTTGCGAATAAGTGGTCTCATTATAGCGTCGTGTTGATGGCGATTTTTCCTTATCGCTTTTATTGTATCTTTCTTTGGAAAATCTGTGGCGCGCTCGAGCAGATATTTGAAAAGTGGTATCTCGTTAAATCTCTCAACACGGAGTCTCAGCTTTGTCACCACAACTTTCCTCAGTAATTCCAGCGTTTCCGGGCTGCGCCGAGCTATAAGACGTTGAAAGCTCCCTTTATCAAGCTCATACACTTCTAAAGTTTCAACGCACTCTACGCTCGTGCAGTACTCTGGGATATCCAGAATCATTTCCACGTCTCCTATAACGTCATTTGGTCCAATAGTTGTGGCTTGTATTTCACGTTGACGGAGCCTGGTCTCCATGGCAACGAACCCATGCTCCAATCGCCGACGACGCTTTTCGATGACGGTCAAAGGCCGCACAAGATCTTCTATCGCGTTGAGCGCAATCTTTTCTTCCTCGTCGCCGAACTTTTTCTCTCGTCCTTTCGGATTCAAAGTTTCATACTGTTCTTTGCACTTTCGCGGATCAGACAACACCTTCGCTGCACCTTTCTCGATGAAATAAACCGAGTTACAAGGGTACCCTTGTTCCACCACACGATTTCCAAACTGAATTTTATGCATTTTAAGATTTTCAATCAACAGTGCCTTGAGCGCTGTTGGCCAAGAGCTAAACAGAGGGCAAGCTAGGGCAAAGTTAGACTTCTTCTTCCACTCAAGTTTGTACACATTGAAAGATTTCTTGTACAACTCCTCATTTATGATAATCAGTTCGGTTAGCTCATCAGCGATGACAGTGGCGTTTCTATCTTTTTTGTCGCTCATCAGAACCATTTCACCAAAGCTTCGGCCGCTCTTAAGAGCGCCCAGCTCTGTTCCAAAGTACGCTAGCCTCTCTTGGGTGCTACGAACCGCACCCATGTCGTGGTGGGGATGGTATTCGCTATGATGTTCATCTTCTTTTTTGGCATAAACTGACACCGATCCCTTGAGAATCACATAGAAACTTTCAAAAAAAGAAAAGGAGAAGAAAACATTTAAAATGTCCAGTTGAACTTGGAGGCCCAAATATCCCAGGGTTGCCTTTCTCATAAACGGACAGCAATGAGACCAGAAAATGTGACCACTTCAGTGACTAGCAACATTATAAATCATATATATGGCTGATGGAAAGAAGTGGAAGATGCTGTCGGCCACCTCAAGCAGTTCGTAAGAGAGTTATGCGTGTTTATAGTTGGCTGGGCCATGAATAAGTATTTCCGTTAACGGGTGATGTCTATTAGAGTTGCAACTCCATTATTTTGTATTAGAAAATGATCTGTAAGAAAGCGCTTGCTGGAAGTGACGTCAGTAATGAACACGACACGTCGGTAGCGACATCCCGGCCGTCAACGGTTAGTGATTTGTGTACTTGATAAAAATACCGAACGAAAATACCACTGAAAGAGTCAGTGATATCAAATTAGACTTCTCAAAGCTCGTTGCTCGTGTTCCGCCCAAGACCAGCGCTTTGGGTTTTCGAAGCGTCTGTGAAGAGGTTTTAGATCAAGTTTTGAACGACTAGTAGATTTACACTAAAACAATTAGATTATTCGCTCTCCATTTCTATGCGTGATACACGCGATAGAAATCTCGCAGTTTCACTGGACCAAAATGGGAAAATTCTAAGAAAAAGAAAATCTTAAGCAATTATCCGACTGTCTTACCAGTTGCCTTTTTCTCCTTGTCGTACGATCACGTGATCTTTCTTTATCTTGATAAACTCCACATGTTTTATTACGTAGACTAAATTATCTGTCAAAAAAGCAGCACGTTAAAAAAAATCGGATATCGAGCATATGGTGCGTTTGGTGGTTTGATTTCCATAACAAGGGGTTGCGAGAAACCTGTGCCCCGTGTGATAAAGACTGAAGCTGTGATAAAGTCTGAAGACTGCGAAAAAGTCCCGGCCAAACGATCGCAACATTTCAACGCAACATGTCGTTGGGCGCAACATGTTGCGCGCGTTTGGCCATCCTGTTGGGACTTTTTGCAACATGTTGAGTGATGTTCGCTCAAGTTTGAAAATGGTCAAATTTTTCATGCAGCTTTAGTGGATGTTGCATGATGTTCTACTTGTTTAGCCAGATTCGTGCAACATTGTAGCGCCCGGGCATGCGCACTAGCTCGATTTACAACACAGCATGTCGCAATTAACGAGTCGCAGCAGGGTGGCCAAATGCGCGCAACAAGTTGTGTCCAACAATGCTGCGATATGTTGCGTTTAAGTGTTGCGATGGCTTCGCCGGGGCTTAAGATTACCTAGGAAGAGAAAAAAGGCCGGAAATAACAGCAATGAAAAAATACAGTGCAATAGTCTTCTGACTAACGAGCGTAATGTATTTACCGTCTTCCAGATTTTTGAACAAAGGACTTTTGTGTCGAATCCAAGGAAGAATTCGTAATATATCGTCCTCGTTTCTTTGCTTTGGTGGTCTGCAGAGCAGCTCCTCCGAAAACTTCAGCGTTGCCTGAAAGGATGCGTCCGACATGACCACGAGACCAACGAGATAGCGATGTTATAGTCTGGAATATTGCCGTACCTACTCAACGTCATAAAGAGATCATTTTCGAAAATTTACGTCACGCGTCATGCGCGCGGCGTTCAACGATGTAACTATTAGTACCCCGCAAAAGAACAAATAAATAATGGAAAGAATATTTCGATCGCTGTCCAAGAATAAAGAAGCAATTAACTAGAAGTATAGAGAGCGGGTGCGTAATTTAACTGGGTTTATATTCAATAATTCAAAGGAATTTCTTTTGGCTCCTTGTTTTTTTTTCTCTCTCTCTCTCTCTTTTGGATCGAATTTAATGCGCTTGCCCAACACTGAACACGGTCGTCGGAAGTGTTCGAAAATCTTCTATCTATCTTTGGCTATCTTCAGAAGAATTCGGGTGAAATTTGACAACTTCGATGGGATGACCATGCGCTGGCAGTCTTCCAGTTTCACGTTTCTTCGTGCTAACTTGTGAAATCTTCGTTGTAATTTGCACTTGTATTACAACTTTGCTCGAGAAAGCCAATCAGAATTCAGTAATTTTTTTAGATGTGTTATTAAATGTGTAAGTCTTGTAAATTCTGATTAGAGGTTGTATACTGTTTTATTTATTTTCTGAAATAATTAAACGATTTTGTGTTGAATTCTGTAAATTTATGTCGGAAGGAAGATAGTAAATCTTATTTTTTTAATGACGTGGGCAATTTTCTAATTTGGCCACATTCGTGCCACAACAGTCTACTTATGACAATACCCTGGATGATTTCCTGTATTCTCATAACCTGTCTACTTGACAATTTATTGGGATTGTAAAGAGAATTTACATGTTGAATATGCCTGAAAATTAAATCATCTTAGAGGACTTGCACACCCGGAGAGAAAGCACGCGAACTAGAGAAGAACTGTTGACACCACAGCCGGAGAGAATTTAAATTTTGATTAAATTTAAATTAAACGAGTTATTTACCTTTCTTTTTTGTAGTGTTTATCTAAAGGAAAAGAAAACAAGGTTTTCCCTGTGTTTCCATCGAGTCAAAAGAAAACTTGAAAAGGCTGTGGAAAACACTGCGTCTGCCTGGAGTTTCCGCATCGATAATTTGTTATTCTCAAAAGTTCCACTCATTCGTGTTTCCAGCCATTTCAGATAATTTGCTCTCGGTTTCTATGAGGTGATCGGTTGGCGAGGCCGAAGGCATTAGAAATCTACTAAAACTCAACATGAACACGGGAAAGGTTTTCTATTTCTTAAATAATATTGTTATGTATCAGTAGTACATTTGAAGACACGAATGTTTCATTTTCCTAATAAATTGTTGTCATACTAGCCGAATTAATATCTCATACTAGGTTTGAACGCAATTTTGATTTATTGTCTTTCATGATTTCATTTCGCTTTGAAAAAACATCTTTTCAAAGTGGAGCACATGTACATCGAAACTGTCTGTACTCCTGCTTTTCATGGAGGAAGTTGTAAATTGAAATCAACTTAGCCTGTTCATTAGTCTCGATAGTACATACATCAGTAAGGGGAATTTTTGTCTCCTTGTGAATTTTGTGTCATTGGCAGACGTGCTTCATTTTCTGATCAAGCTGCGAAAACATCAGCTCCGAATGACGATTGTTTGTCTCCATTACTGGGGTTTAAAAACTCAAATTTTTTCACGGAATGTACGGCTCAGCCAGCAGCTCATTCATACTTTTGCCAACCAGAACTTTAGCAATTTTTGAAAGTCAATATCTTATTCAATAATAAACCCCGAAAGCTAAAAGAGATTCAACGTCTGGAGTCAGCCTCCGCGCCAATACACAATTTTATATGCTAATGACTGAGGTAAAACGTAAACAACCTTGAGGCTAATTTTACCTATATTTTTAACCCTTACTCTGAACTTAACACTAAGCCTAACCTTTAGACTAATACTACGAGATCTTGATCCTAATCCAAACCTTGATTCTTAGTCTTCTCAGCTAATTCTTCGCTAATCTTTTTATTTTGGCGGAAATACCTCTGACCATTAGATGCCTATTCCGCAGTCGTGGTTTTACTGTGACATCCTATGCAAATATGACGAAGCGAAATAGCTTGATAAAACTGTGCGAGAACGTTCATATCAATTTACCCTCGGAAAGGTGTTATGATAGTTTTTTTTTTCCCTGTGATTTGTATTTGTTATTCCTTACCTAACTTCTAAGTGAAATATTGAATAACCAGTTCTTCGATTTTGAGTCAATGTTTAATAGTGAATGATGTACGGCTTCTATCGGGTTTTTGAACAATAAAATCATAAGTAGAAGTGGGAAGAAGGCAGGTGTTCGGGAAGTGCTCTTTGCCGTTTTGCTCAGAATACATGTAAAATTGTATTGGCCTCCTGATGGCTAGTCTGTGTTTTTTAATTTTAATTTTTTTTATTTGGAAGTATGTGAAGCCGCGGAAAAGTACAGTGAGTCAAATGTCAGTTGTGTTGTGTGACGTAACTCTTCCACTCCGGCCTGACTAATCTATCAATTACAAACAAGCTCATTAAAATAACAAACTTCGACAATCATTATCTTCTCAGATTACATTGTCCTTATTTCACTGTTATTTATAGCCACGCGTTTGAACCGTTTCAGAATGGAACCATTTGAACACGAGAAAGATGTTTCTTTCAAATCAAGAAAACGAAGGTCAGGCTCAAAGACATTCCTGATCATTTTGTCTGTCTTATCGCTTATTTTACTGGTGATTTCAATCGTATTTATCACGCTGTACGCCTTGGAAAAGGGCAAGAAGACATCTACACCTCAGATCCCGAGAGAACAGAAGTATTGTGGATCAAAAGCATGTTTTGATACGGCAAAAGGTAGGATGAAATGCTGAAAATTTATATTTAAAAGATGCTTCCTTCTTTAGAAATTTACTTCTGATTTATTCTTCCTAACAAAGGACAGATGAAAATGGTAATGAACGACTGACACTACTTCCATAACAATCCAATATCATTATCTTTTTGCGTGCGCGCCAAGTGCACACACTGGTAAAATTTATCACTTTCTGATCTTAAACGGAATTTCTTTGACGTTGTTTGTTTGGTTCTAGGCTTGTCCAACCTCGAAAATCTCGGCGTGTTTATAAATTAACTATATCGTACCATATTGTTGACTTTTCGTACAAAGAACGAACTTATTAAGCACTAATCAACCGCGTGCCCTACCGGAAGCAAAGACATGTGGGCCGGCCTCAAGCTGTTCTACATGTAATGTTTACAAAGTATAATGTTTACATGTCCCGCGGGATCCCACGCGGTTTATGGACATCATGTCTTACAGTCCCTTTCTGTGAGGAATTCATACACAGCGCCTGTTTTCCGCTCGCACTCACGGAAATAATTGAGGATTGCAAAGAAGGCTTTATAAATTAAATAGATTCTCCTTTTGCCCCGGTTATCAAGGGACCATCTGCATAATTTGTAGTACAAATTTTGTCGTCACCAAATTTTTCATTTCGGAAAACGTGAACGTACTAAAAACAACTTATAATCTGCGAATCACAAAAAGGGAGTCACGCAGTTATGGAAACCTTTTTTGCCACAGAGAGCATATTAATAACTTCCTTAAAACCTTTTTGGCAAGTATTTTCTAGAGTCTTTACCCTCCGGCCTGCGACAGTATCCTCCGACTGAAGGTATGTTTCTTCTCGCTGTTCTTGTCTTTCAGTGTCTTTGCCTCTTTCCCCTGACACACAGACTACTTGTTGATGTGTTGGATTTGCCTGCTTTCGTTTCGATTATTCAAACTGCTTTAGCTGGCAGTTTACACTGATATAAAGGGACTGGTTAAAGTTGAACAGATTCCACAACATCCCAAAATAATCAACCCTGTGACCTTTAGATTAACGAATCTGTCAGGTTTGACATATGACAAAACTTAGCCCTGTTCCGAGGCAGGACGACGGCGCCTATTGCACGGCTAGATCAGGAATAAAAATAACCATTTGCACTGGTGCAGCAGAGACGATGACAGAAAATTACCAGATATTTTCGGAAATAAAATTGAAAAATGTTAACCGCGAATGGGTCCTTAGTTTTTACTTACCACAAACCCCC